AGCAGTTCCATCACATCAAAACGGGGGCGTGCTTTGCAACATTTAGGGACAGAAGCCACACGTTTTGCGATGAGCACTCAACACAAAGAACTTTCTGTCAGGTCTGATCGTGAGCCGTCCATTCTGGCTGTTGTTGATGGCTTGAAGAAGTCCTGCAGGAACCTTGGAATTACCGCGCATGATGAAGGTGCCCCAGTCAAGGACCACCATTCAATCGGTGCTGCTGAAGTGACTGTTCAGGTGTTGAGGTCAAGAGCAAGTCTTTTGATGCAACAGATCGAAGACAAAGTTGCCGGTGGACGTCTGGTTTTTGGATGCAACCGTCCACTTTACTGCTGGGCCCTCATTCAGGCTGGTTAGATAACAGGTTTGTGGCCAGCGGTGGTCAGACAGCTCTTGAGCGCGCCAGTGACAGAGCCTACAGTGGCAAACTTGCAACGTTTGGTGAAGACATCCTTGTCTATCTTGCTGTGCATGTAGTTGGCACATCAGAGGGCGTCTTCCTTACACGCAGCATCAGACGCAGTGCAGGTGCTTTCAATTTGAACCGGTTTGCTGAGTTGGAAAACTATCCATGGGAGTTTGGTTTGGCAGGGCTTGGCAACAAACTTGTGCACAACAAGCGCTTGACTCGCCCACTGTACCCAGTGGTCCAAGTGCAGAAGCAGTTGGAGCTGAAGCTGCTCCTAGCACTGCGTGCTGATGAGCAGAGTTTGCCTGCTGAGTCACAAAAGAAGCCACGTGCAGCTGTTGGTGTACCATTTGATGATGATGATGATGATGATGATGATATTCTAGATGATAGCGAAGTTGGGCAACATGTGCCAAAGACCCCCACATTGGAGGATGATGTTTTCAAACAGAACATCAGCGCTGTTACCAGCACAGATTTGGACCTGTATGAACACGAGGATGAGCAGGTGCGTGTCAGCTTGGAAAACCCTGAGCTTGACTCTTTGGAAGAATATGACATGGAGTTCTATGACGATGAGTGGCTGGAGGCAGATAGCTGCGATGACAATGCGGCCATGCAAAAGCTGATGTTTCCATTCACCAAGCATGAGCCAGACAGAGGTTTCTGCTGATGAATTGATCAAGTTGGACGCACTTGCAGACTCAGTTGAAATGGGCAGGTTGGTGAAGATGGGTGTTTTAGCTAGCGCTGATGATGCACCAGCTGGCGCAAAGACCTTGTCTACAGTCTACACGCTTTGTGCGTACGTGGGGGAGAAGATGGACTCCCAAGGAAATGCAGTTTGGCTTCGTCGTAGCCGATTTGTTGCCAGGGAATTTGCATGGATGCAACCAGATAGGGATTGCCTTTTCAGCCTTGCTTCGAGCAGCATGGTTGCAAGGCTGTTACCCAGCATGTTTCTTGACCTTCGAGAGTTTGAGGATGCTGTCATGCTGTCATGCTGTCATGGTGTCTATCGACGTCAAGGATGCTTTCCTGACTGTGAGTCAAGAGACTCCAACTGTTGTGCGGTGCCAGTTGGCTGATGGCACTAGCATGGGCTACAGCCTTGGAAAAGTCCTACCAGGACAGCGTGATGGAAGTTTACTTTGCCACAAAGACATCACTGGACTGTTGAAGACTGAGCTGGCCATGGCTGAGCACATCCCGTATCCATGCATCTTGAAAACCCCTGGCAGCAGTTGCGTGGTGTTGGTTCATGTTGATAACATACTTGTGGTTGGACGAAGAAGTTTTGTACAAAACAAGCTGGTCAAGCGCCTTGAGAAGTCTTATTCAGTTTCAACACAGTTTGTGGAGAAGCCTGGTGATGAGTTGAGTTTTTTCAAGCGCACAACGTGTTTGCAACATGATGGACGCCTGACTATCAAGACCCAGCACAAGCACATCCAGCATCTTTGTGGGCTTCTCAGGTTGAATCCACGTTTGCAGAACAAAAAGACGCCAGGTCACTGAGACATGGACCAGATCGACAACACCAATGACCTGGACCCTGGAGAAGCTGCAATCTACAGAACATGCATTGGAGTGTTGCTATATCTGGCAAGTGACCTTCCACATTGCCATCATGTTGTACGTCATCTAGCAATGTACAGCAACAGACCATCACAGAAGAGCATGGTGGTTCTCAAGCACCTTGTGGGGTACCTAGCCGGCCATGAAGACATCTGCGTCTCCCTCAAAAGGAAAGGTCGTGCAGTTGGCCTCTTTCACAGCTATAATTTGGAACCTGGAGAAGGGGCTATTGAAGTTTTCACTGACTCTGATTGGGCCTTGGGCCAGCGACCGTAGCAATCGAAGGTCCATATCATGCTGCACGATATTCATGGGAGGTTGCCTTTTATTTTCTTCGAGCCGCACTCAAAAGTTGGTGTCATTGTCATCAGCAGAGGCTGAGGCTCATGCATGCTCATCAGGAACCTCAGGCGCGATCCTTCTGGCAAGATTGGTGCGGTGGTTGACAAACAAACCAACAACCATCTATCTATATACAGAGAGCTCAGGCGCTCGTGGCATCATCCAGCATCAGGGCATTGGTTGCTTGAGACATTTGTCCTGCAGAGTGCTTTGGTTGCAGGCTTTGGTTCAGAATGGCACGGTGAGACTTTCGACAGTGCCAGGAGCATCGAACCCAGCTGACGAAGGTACGAAGAGGTTGCCAGCACCTGATGTGTCTACTTGGCATGTATGATTTGAAACGTGGTTGTTTGAGGGTCTCGAAGACCCAGGTGGCATCTTCAAGAAGAAACAAAGCATGATTTCTCTTCTGAGCGCCTTGGGCCTTCTCCGCATTCAAGGTTGCCAAGGTGATGACGCCATCAAAAGCAGCGTTGAAGTTTCTTTTGGCATAGTGCTTTTTACAGTTGTGGGTAGGGGTTGCAATTTACCTTGCGTTTTGGTTTGCAAATGGATTTCATGGGGTTGAAGGCCCACAGGGCGAACCAGATGCAGAGCCTGAAGCTGCAAACACAATTGAAGCTGACCATCCACCAAATCACCCAAGAGCTGCAGTGGAGCCTACTCCAGAAGGTTATGTTGCCTGGCTGATTGAGCGCTGTGAACGTCGTTATTTGCAAGCAGGTTCAGCTGAAAGAAGAGCTCTTTACAGCAAACGCGTGACCATTTTGCATGGCCTCCAGCCTCTGAGCTTCGTCCTGCAGCCCTCAGATCCCTAGCTGGGATGAGCGGTATAAGTGATGATGAAAGTTCCCCGGGCCATGCAGCAATCAATGCTCCAACTTCACTTGCTCAAGCTTCTCGTGCCGTGCAGGTTTCAGCACAAACGTTTACATGGTGCACAATGCATTGATGCATTGGTGCATGGTATCCACAGGCGTGCAGCTGACAATGCAAGAGCTGCCGCAGGCGATGATGCCAGTGACAGCAGTCACATCCAGACTGCATCAGAAATGCGTGTGAGGTATCTCAATGCTGATCAAAGTGAGGTTTCAGATCCTGAACTTTTGTTGTTGCTGAACTATGGAGAAGACAGTGAAGAAGAAGAAGAAGAAAGCTTGGAAGGTTGAGGCATGGACAATGAGAAAGATGTTCATGTCCAGACAGCAGAGCTGGAGATGAGCTCAAAAACGTGCCTTAGCCTTAGCTAACGTGATCTCAATTGGCACTTAGCAGTTTTGGTTTCACGCTGTGTTGAAGGTTTGTCCTACAAGGACTTTGCAAGTCGTGGCCCACCAATGAGTGCCCCATGCAGCACTTACGTTTGACACTTTTGGCATTTTATGTTTGGAGGTGACATTTATTGAAAAATATGGAAAGGTCAATGAGTAATCCAGCTACCAATAGCGTATATACAGTTGCCAGTTGCATGGCAGTCTCATGTGCAAATGCACACATCGAGAAGTGTATGCTCCAGGCGCTTTTGGCTGAGCAAAAATAAATATGTTCAAAAAAATGGTCTCCCAAGATTTCTTGCCACAAATAGCGAACCTACCAAACAACGCATGGGTTCAGTATAATTTGGAAAAATTGGCGCAATAGCGAACCTAGCTACTAATCAGGATGCAACAATAGTTCAGAGTTGGTTCGCCTTTTAATGTTGGAATCAGCTTCTCCTTGAATGTCGTTGGGATCGGATCCTGCCCAAATCACTGGCGCGTGGTCCACTGTATGCTTCTACACTGGGTCAATGCAAGACTATACGTAGGACCTAGGACCTTCTCTAGCCGCAACCTTGCTCCTGCCAATGTGGTAACCGCCATCTTCTTCATCGATAACACATCGCAAAGGTCGCGGTGCAGTTTTCAATGCGTTCAACGTCGAAAAAAACTACCCAAGATGAAAGCTCAAAGGTTTTTATCCATAATAATACTGCACCCCGTTATCCGTAGGCAATCTTTTTCAAAATATAAATTGCGCAATGAATCCACCGCCAAACTATATCGTATTATATCGTCGTAAAATATCCAATATAGCCACAATTTGCAAAACCAGAAGAACTTCCCATGGGGCATAACAATCGAAGCGTAATAGACCCATAACATCCCACAACCAAACAGAAAAAATATATATATATATAGATCATATAGTTTCAGATGTTTCAGCCCGTAAGATATCCACAATGACCCGCAATTATCCCGCAACATACTCATGAAATGCCGTAAAATGCCCGTACTTTAATTATGTTGTTTTTTCATCATTGACTTTTTTGTAAGAATTTCAACATGCACATGTGTTGGATTGTGAAATATTGTGGAGTTCTGTTCGCATTCATTGCCTTTCACCTCTTTTTGGGTCCACATGCATCCATATGATTTATGTCCAAAAACTTTTTATATATGGGTGAGAGCACACATGGAAGCTGTCGCCCATTCTTGTACCAACCCAAAGAAACAAGGTAAAAAGGCCGTGAAGGATTATAATTATGAAGGTCCGTATAGATGGTTTCTTTGTTTCCCATTGCGCTCCGCTTGTTGTTTGGGTTGCGGCATAGTTGCCAGCAAGTTGTGAATTTACCGTCACCCAAGTACTCGTAGCTGTCGATTTGACTGGCACAGCCGTGGTTCAGGTTGGCTGACGAACAACACTCAGCTTTTGAGCGTTCGCTGGAGGCCGCTTTCTCAAGGTGGGCAGTGATGAATTACAACGACCTCACTGCGACCTCACTGTAATAGGGAATCGTCCCCATGGTTTTTTTCAGGTATTGAAATTTACCCAGATCCGATGTAATGCTCATTTTGGCTCTTTGTACAAGATGTGCAAGGAAGAATAAGGAAAATGTATGCACTCTTATCTCGATTTTCATTGGGGATGACATGGGCCATCATGGAATCACGGATCTTCCTGGAACCCCGAAGAACCAGAAATAACATGAAATAGCCATAGTTGTTTTCCTCTAATAGAGCCCCACAGTCTCTACATAACAACTGGTGGGAACTGGGGTCCCAGGCTTCCCCGCTATGTGCCGCTTGGCGCCAGGATTCAACACCTGCAGCAAGACCTTGGCGCTAACCTGTCCACGGGGAGGCGATCAGTTGAATCAATCGCCGCCTCGGATCTCTCACTGGCTCAGAAGGCGACGGGATGGCACCAGGCACAATCAAGTTTGGGAACGCAACAAAAGGACAAAGGCCTGCGAAACATGGCCATTGATATTTCTGGCCGTTCCCCGGGCAGCCACCTTTCATGCACGCAAAGGGTCTTCACAACCAGGCACCAACAATAATCAACAAACCCCAGCTGTCTCGCACAGGACCCCGAGATCGCAAACGTCCGAACTGTCAAACCTAAAATGGTAGAATCTTGGCTTGTGTGGTGATTGACATGAGTTTATTGATATGCATTGCAATTCGGGAGGTCCAACTAAAACATCCCAAGGCGTTCATCCTTCATAGCTGTTCTCCTTATGATTTTTTGTTCGGGATGTTCACCAACCATGGTTTGGACCCCTATCCTTTCAGACACTTATCAACATGGTTTGTTTGGTGCATCCCAGGATGCGTTCGATCCAGTGCCCTCCCCCTATGGGGAGTTTGAGACATGGCAGAGGCAGGAGTGACTGGCTGTGGCAGAAGCAGAAGTCAACAGAATGGGTGGCCACTATTTCATTTATATAATGTAACCCTCCGATGTCCTCCGATGTTGCTGGCCAAAACATATACCCAGATCTTCCCATGTCGGTTCTCTATGTCACTGACATGATTTGTGACGAATAATTGTGAGTCCTTTTGCAAGTTCAACAGTCTCATGGCGCTATGTCTGCCATTTTCCGCCCCTTGGCTTTTTAATTCCCAGTCGTTCGCCGCTCGTGCCGCTCCGGGGAGGTTTGTCACACCTGATTTGCTGCCGCGAGATGCCTTGTGCGCGAGCCACGACAGCGTGGAGTTTGAGATCCCCATAGGGCCGAAGACGTCGACGAAGAACATGCAGTCGATCCCGTCCAGCAGATCTCATCCCGCTGATGGATGCGTGCCTGGGCTGTCACGAAAGGTAGCTGGCTACCTTGAGTTTCACTTATTGCATCTTACTGCTATCAAATTACTTGACGAAGCAACGGGGGTCGTACCATGCATGTCGTACCCTCTGTAGATAAGAAAACCCACGACATTGCCTTTCATTGTCCCACCCTGCCCAGGACCCACCCCCTGTGGGCTCAAACCCCCCTGCTCCTTCGATTTTCCTTGCCCCAAACGGTGTGTATTTCCTTCCTTGCGCAACCAGTGTGTTGTTTTTGGTGCTTTGCATTTTCTTCGAACAATTGATGCTTGTTGGTTTTATTGGCTTGCATGGCCATCACCATCACCACCACCACCACCACCATCATCATCATCATCGTTGTCATCATCATCATCATCTTCATCATCATCATCATCATCATCATCATCATCATCTTCATCATCATCATCATCATCACATCATGATCATCATCGCCATCACCATCAGCATCAGCATCGTCATCGTCATCGTCATCCTCCTCCTCCTCATCAACATCATCATCATCACCATCACCATCACCATCATCATCATCACCATCATCATCATCATCATCATCATCATCGCCATCGCCATCATCATCATCGTCATCGTCATCGTCATCATCATCATCATCATCACCACTGTCACCATCATCATTGTCACCATCATCATTGTCACCATCATCATTGCCATCCTCTTCGTCATCGCCATCATCACCATCATCACCATCAGTCATGCCACCTATTCTACCTAATCTCTTCACTCTCCAGCTTGGCCGCCTACCTTTCGTGTTCCCCTTCTCAAGCGAGAGGTGGTGCCTTACTCTTGGAGGATAGCTTCTAAGCTAGATCCCATTCGCAGGATTTGCACGAGGATTCACCACTTTTCGTCACCTCATTGTCCCCACTGGCAGATGCCCAGGATGATCGGCCCCCAAGATCCTCAAGCCCCACAGCCCGCGGGGAGTTGGCTGCGGAGCGAACAGACTCGAAGAAACTCCCGATCAAATCGAAGACCTTGGAACGATTCCTCGCCGTAGCTTGGATCATGATCCCCTTGGTTGATCTTGGCTGTTCAAAGAGGGAACTTAATGCAACTCAGGACTAGAGAATTGATTAGACGAGTTACAACAGCTTTGTTTTGTCTCAGGGGACGACTCCTACTATTTTGCTTTCTAGAGGTGATTTGTAGTTGATGTCTTTATTATGACCCCCACCTTAACGAAATTAATCCAGGTGGACCGGTGGTCCCCCGCGAGCTCCAGATCCCAGTGGGCACTGCCGGACCTCAACCGCGAGTTGCAGATCGCAGTGGGCACTGCCGGACCTCAACCGCGAGTTGCAGATCGCAGTGGGCACTGCCGGACCTCAACCGCGACTTCCAGGTCGCAGTGGGCACTGCCGGACCTCAACCGCGACTTCCAGATCGCAGTGGGCACTGCCGGACCTCAACCGCGACTTCCAGATCGCAGTGGGCACTGCCGGACCTCAACGGGAAGAATGTCAGAAAAGATGCCAGATAGAATGTCAGAAGATATGCCAGATAGAATGCCAGAAAGAACGTCAGAAAGAATGTCAGAAGATATGCCAGACAGAATGTCAGAAGATATGCCAGAAAGAATGTCAGAAGATATGCCAGATAGAATGTCAGAAGATATGCCAGATAAAATGCCATGAGATATGCCAGATGGAATGCCAGAAGATATGCCAGATAGAATGCCAGAACATATTCCAGATAGAATGCCAGAAGATATGCCAGATAGAATGCCAGAAGGTATGCCAAATAGAATGCCAGATAAAATGTCAGATAGAATGCCACACAATATGCCAGATAGAATCCCAGAAGATTTGCCAGATAATATGCCAGAACATATGCCAGAATATATGCCAGATAGAATGCCAAATAGAATGTCAGAAGATATGTCAGATAGAATGCCAGAAGATTTGCCAGTAAGAAAATGTATAAATGTCATGGTGGGGATCACACGAAGTAAAGTAATTTTGATTTGGGTTGTTTTTTCGAGAACTCTATTGTTCGAGGATTAATTTAAGCTGGGGGTGCCCAAATTAATTTAGTTTGAATGCTTGAGAATGAGGGTGGGGCCACCTCGAATTAATTTGGCAATGTTTCCTCAAACAGCTCATGCCAGCTCAATCAAACTTGGATTATTAATGACGCTAAATCTACCTGGGTGGCATTTACAAGTAAGAAAATGCGTTTGGAAAAGAATCTTATTCATTGTTTTGCAAATGATTTGAACAGCTTTTCAAAACCATTGCGAACAAAGAAACATGCAATTTATTTCTCATACCACCAACCATTGTTTTCCTTCCTCCCAGCTTGCGTGGACACGCGTAAAATTAATTTGGAGGTGGGTGTACTAGTACAGGACCCAATGATGGTAATGACACTAAATCTAACTGGGTGGCATTCACAAGTAAGAAGATGCGTTTGGAACAGAATCTTGTTGATTGTGCGCGATGAGAATTGAAAACCAGTTTTAAACACCTCACGAACAAATACACCCAATCTATTTCTTTTTGCGCCAACAAAGTTTTTCCTTTTTCCCAGCTCGCGTGGCCACGCGTAAAATTAATTTGGGGGTGGGTGTACTAGTACAGGACCCAATGATTGTAATGACACTAAATCTAATTGGGTGGCATTCACAAGTAAGAAGATGCGTTTGGAACAGAATCTTGTTGATTGTGCGCGATGAGAATTGAAAACCAGTCTAAAAAACCTCACGAACAAATAAACACCCAATCGATTTTTTTTTTGCGCCAACAAAGTTTTTCCTTTTTCCCGGCTCGCGTGGCCACGCGCACAATTAATTTGGGGGTGGGTGTACTGGTTTGGGGCCCTATGGTTTGAATACGATGAGACATGCGTATGGGCTTGGCTGGCCTCATTGGAGGCCATATGTTCCTTAAACTTTGGATACCGTCCCTGCTACCTCGAATAATTTAGCTAACCACACCCCAATTAATTAGAAAAAACTATTTGGGGTCCCCTTGACCCAAGAAGAAATGGTAGTTCCCCCACTCTTGAATAATTTGCCTGAAATTAATTTAGGTGGTGGGGAGAGAACCATTTATTACATCTAGGTGGGGGGGAAGTGCCGCCGAACAAATTAATAGAGGTACCCTGAAGAAGTAGGGACCCTTGGATTAATATTTTTATTAAACGAGGTGGGGGACCACTCTGGGTACCCTTTAGGGGGTGGTCATTCTTTATTCATCCTTGGTCGACATGGCGTGATGCAGAAATGAGCATGCGGTTGGTGGTCGGTAGTCCACTGGTGTTGCTAAACTTTCCTGTTACTTTTCCTCCGGAGGCACGCGGCTGAACATCCCAAAGTGATCCAAAATTGCCTGGATGATATTCACAATATCAAATTCTATGAACTGTTATCCAATATCTGTGTGTGTGCAGTCGGTTCATAATTAAAGTTACAACAGTATTGGATTATTGGACCACGATAAAATAAGATAAAATAAGCGTATGAACCCATGTCTTCTGGGGCATGGACAATGTTCATGAGTTTCGTGATTTGAAAATGGTGGATTGGTAGTTATTTAATGTTGCTAGCATCACGGTTTTCATGTCCCTGGTGTTTTTCCTTGTTGACACATTGACCTAAGAAATCACAGAATTCCAATCTGGCCGCACATACTAAGGACACTCCGCATTTTGGTCAGCATTCAGAACAGGGGGAAGTCTCAGTCAACATGCTGCAATCACTGTGATCTCCGGTTTTTGGATAGCTAGTTAGCAGTGTTGCAACTGCATTGTTTTTTGGTAGATTTAGGCAGGATTAAATAAACAGAAACATGAATAAACAACATGGGGAGCATAGAAACCAACAATCACAGCTTGACGGGTCCAAGATATTTATAGTGCGTGCCGCATGCCCTAAAATTCGCGTCTCACGCAGTCCCTACAATGATGGACCTTACTGGGTGACTTCAGTTGTGGATATTTATCACCTCCACTGCAGCTGGTGGCAAACTCCAAGTATCGGAGCTGCTGGACACGAACTCATACTAGCCGCTCATAAAAAGCCTAGTTCCGCATAAGTCCAATCGTTACAGTACAATCCCATGAAATCTTATCCGCATCTATGAACTTCAGGCCCCTTCTCGTGCACGCCTATGCACGCCTCATCAATGTTAGGAACACTTCAAGAGGTTTATCCAGATCCCGGGGAGGAGGGACACCCAGGACCTTCATGAAACTTCTTGGCGAACCTCATCTTGTGGGTTTTGGGAGGAACACAGCGCATGAAGTCATTTGGGCTTGTTTATGTCGTTTTACGGATTTTTGGACGAATATAGTGGCATGATTTGCCATGTGAATTGCCGGAGGGACACGCAAACAGCGCAATGCCAAGGGGATGGGCACCAGCTGTGTCACCTGGCAGCAAATCAATATCCGGTTGTGGTTGGACCATATTGATGTTTGATTCTGGAAGGTGATCCAGTGATCCATCAATTATGTGGGGGCATTCCTAACCTCTGGAATTCACCGCTTTTGGGGTGAGGCCCATCACAACCGGTTCAACCCAGTTTTTGGCTAAGGCCAATTTTAAATGGAGGGTTATATATTTTTTTTTTGCGGCAGGTTTTGGATTTTTTTGGGGTCCTGGTTCTGTGCTTTCCTGTTTCTCTGCTTTTCTGCTTCTCTGCTTTTCTGCTTCTCTGCTTTTCTGCTTCTCTGCTTTTCTGCTTCTCTGTTTTTCCTGCTTTTCTGCTTCTCTGCTTTTCCTGCTTCTCTGCTTTTTGCTTTACCTGCTTCTCTGTTTTTCTGCTTTTTGCTTTTCCTGCTTCTTTGCTTTTTTCTGCTTTTCTGTTTTCCCTGCTTCTCTGCTTTTGTACTTTTTTGCCTTTCTACTTCTACTATTCGACTTTTTTTTCTTCAGTCATATGTTTTTGCTGCTCTACTTCCTGCTCCTTTGCTTCTTTGCTTCCTGTCTTTACGGTCTCTTTGTTTTTCATGTTCTTTTGCTTTATTCTGTTCTGTTTGTATCCTATACCAGTAGTACCGCACAAGGCGGTGGCGGAAGTTTCAAAAATAGAAAACCTATAGGAGAGGTGAGTTGGTGTGACGCAAAAATGGCAGAGCGAACCCACTGATGGATTGAAAGGTGGTTGAGTGTTTCTCCCTTTCTGTCTCTCTTTCTCTCTGTGTCTCTCTTTCGCCATCTATCTACAGAGCTACCTTTCTAGCCATCTACCTATCTACCTGTCTATTCATGTATCTATCGACCGATTTGTTTATTCACCTATCTATTAAACTGTCTATCTTTCTGTCTATCCAGCCATTCATCCATCCACTTACTTCTCTCTGTTAGTTGTTTTTTCCGTCCATCTCTTCATCGATCCATGTCCACAGCTATCCATCACCATGTTCTTCGTTCTGTTTCTCTATCGATTCATCCATGCATCTGTCCGTCTACCTCTTCTTCCAGCCATCCATCCATCTATCTAGCTACCCATGCGTTTATCTGGTCATCGACGCTTCTAGCGATCTTCCGATCTAGCGATCTATGTGTCCATCTGTCGATCCATCATACGAAAGTACTGCGCCTGCCACGAAAAAGTTAGTCCAGGTCATACGAAATGCTGCACCTGTCACGAAAAAGCATCTTGGCATAGCTGATGATTTGATACGCCAAAATGCAACCCCTCTCAGGAAATCAGCTCCTTGAGCTCCGAACATCTCTGCTGAAGATGCCTCTTGTACTGCGCCTGCCACGAAAAATGCATCTGTGCAGATCCTCTTCAAATCTCCCACGCCTGCCATCGTTTTTGAAAATGCTACAAACCCTCACGTTTTAGTCACTTTTCAGTGGATGCACAATCCACTCCACCTGCCACACAAAACGACGTCTGAACGTCCAAAATGTCTCCGAGACCCTCAGTTTTTAACACTTTTGACTTCGAAATGTGCTTCGCGCCACAACGCCGTGCACTTTTTCGACATCTCAACTTCCAAAAGTGCTCCGAGACCGCCAGTTTTTAACACTTTTTACTTCCAAATGTGCTTCGCGGCACAACGCCGTGCACTTTTTCGTCATCTCAACTTCCAAAACTGCTCCGAACCCCTCAGTTTTTAACACTTTTTACTTCCAAATGTGCTTCGCGCCACAACGCCGTGCACTTTTTCAACATCTCAACTTCCAAAAGTGGTCCGACCTGAGGTGTTTTGTACCTTTTCACTTCGAAATCGGCTTCGCGCCACAACGGCGTGCAACTTTTCATCTCTCATCTCCCCAGATGTCTCCGCACCCGCCGCTTTAGCGAGCCTACTTTTCAACCCTCCGGAGCCACAAAACCACGAAAAAACACTGTGTTTCGCGACTTTCCTACCTTTTCGCGCACCTGCATCTTCTTTCTTCTGATCTTTTCTCTTCTGACTCTTCTCCCATCTTCTCCCTGCTGACTGCTTTTTCATCTCTCCATATTGTCGGAAGTTTGACTTCTAAACTTCCTTCGATAAATGAAACCCTAGAGAGACCCTAGGTGAAACCCAAAGAAACCCTAAAGAAATCCTGATAAGAAACCCTAGATGAAAACCTAAATGAATCCTAAAGAAACCATACTGTAAATGTCTGGAAATTAATCCTAAAGAAACCATAAATGAAACCCTAAAGAAATTTTAAATGACATCTTAAATGACATCCCAAAGAAACCCTAAACAGCACTCTGAAAAAAAAACTAAATGAAACCTTAACTGACACCTTAGCTGAAAACCTAAATTGACACCCTAAAGACACCCTAAATTGAAACCCTAAATGAAACCCTAAAGAAACCTTAAATGAAACCCTAAAGAAACCCTAAAGAAACCCTAAATGACACCCTAAATGAAACCTTAAAGGAACCCTAAAGGAACCCACTTGAACGTTTAGAAATCGTGAAAAGGAAATCCTGATAAGAAACCCTGGAATGAAACCCTAAAGAAAGCTTAAATGAACTCCTGAATGAAACCCTAAATTGAAACCCTAAATTGAAACCTTAAGGAAACCTTAAATGAAACTCTCAAGAAACTCGAAATGAAACCCTAAAGAAACCTTAAATGAGACCCTAAATGAAACCCAAACTGAAACCCTAAAGAAACCCTAAATGAAACCCTAAATGAAACCCTAAACGACACCCTAAACGAAACCCTAAAGAAACCCTAAATGACACCCATTTGAACGTTTAGAACTCCTGATAAGAAATCCTGATAAGAGACCCTACATGGAACGGGGAAAAACTCTAAATGAAACTCTAAAGAAACCCGAGCCCTAAAGAAACCCTAAATGAAACCCGAAATGAAACCCTAAATGAAACCCTAAAGAAACCCTAAATGAAACCCTAAATAAAACCTTAAAAATGAAAGCCTAAAGAACCCTCAAGAGACCCACATGAACGTTTGAGGCATCAAAATGTAGCAGATATATACCATGTAAATGAGAGGTTGAACTGCCAAAATATGACAAATACCATTCCAAAGTGGAAGGCGCACATGGCCAAATGTAGCAAATACCATGCAAAATGCAAAGTGACCATGCCAAAATGTAGCAAATACCATGCAAAACAACAGGTTCTAGTTCCAAACTGTTGCAAATACAAGGCAAATGGTACCGGGAAAGAAAGCAAAAAAAAAAAAAACCTGAAGCAAAAAAACAACTATTCTACACCCATTTTGAATTACATTCCCTTGAGCAGAACTTCAGGAAACGCGTCCTGGACTATGCGGCTGGAATTCTGGTACTTGTGAAACTTGTCCGCACGATCTGCCCAGTTTCCCAGGTTTTCCCACGAACCACCCGCAATTTGCTAGCTTGTGGGTCCCTCTTTTCTTGCGCCATCGCTCTTGCCACTGTTTGTTGATTTTGGATGATTTTGATAGATTTTGGTGGATGTTAGAAGGTGGAAGTTGGTAATTGAGGAACTCCGTGGTGATGCTGGTTGAGCTGGAACTGGAAGGCCGTGCCATTGGCAGTACCATGGCTAGAGATCAGCCCTGAACACCAGTGCTGCTGGTTGGTTCATGAATGTTTCAAGTTTCAAACATTTCTGGGTTCGGACATTTTTCCGGGGAGGGCAGAAACAAGCACGCTATGTTCTCAGGATCTCGGAAGGATTCTGTTTGAAGAACCATCAAACTCGCAGCAAGGCCTCTGCTAAGAATGTGAACCAAAGGGTTCATTCCAGCTAGTTCTGTGTGTGTGTTTCTTCACTTCCTTTCATTTTTGAAGGAAATTGCAGTGTGTTCCTTGCCAACTTTGCTGTCATACGTTTCCAGTTCAACTTCTACCATGTATTTACACTTGATGAGCTTAGATTTTCTTGCCATCAGCATACGGGACACCAAGGATCTGTGGGGTACCCTGAGGGAAGAACAGATTTTGGACATCCGATAGGCATTTGCCGTGTGACTTGGCTTCTTTGCAAACTACCCACACTACGTACTGATGTGTTGTGGTTGCGCGGTTTTGCGTGGGGCAAAATAATATACATAATATATAGTATATAGTATGTATATATATATAGCATATAACATTTGTTGATTTATTTATTATATACATGTAAACGAGTATATGCACACATTTAGTCCAACTTTGTTTCATCTGTTTATGGCTTGGAGGAACATTCCACTGAGGGGTGTGAAATAGTGTAAGCATCTGTGGCCTTTGGGGATTTAAATAGACCATGTTCTTATATCATTTTCTTTGTTGATACCCCATTGTTAGCTGGTCAATCGCTTCCTCCCTTTATCGACTGTTTCATTGCCCGATCGTTAGCCATTTCTGATGGATCTGATTGATTTTTCATCTTTTACCCATTGCGTTGCTAAATATGATTCTTGACTAGAGGGACGCTCGCATCCCAAGACCCCAAACCAATCTAAGCCACCAACAACTTCACCGAGAAACCAATGACAATCTCCCAATCAATGGACATCAACTGATTCGACTGGCTTCCACCCGGCCAACGACAAAATGGTGAGCTGGCCAGGATTTTCCACAGTTTTCTTCAAGAATTAACAGATGAGGCCCTGAATGATTCGTTCAGCATCATTTTCTTCCTGGAATTGCTGGTACGCATGGCCATAGAAAGAAGGTGCCGGCATGGGGGTGGGGAGGTACAAGGAGAATCAAGGAGATAGCGCCAAAGATGGAGACCAACAACCACAAACATGGGGACAACAAACAGAGTAACCGACAAAATTATTGTAATACATTGTAATACTAAATTTAGTCTTGCTTCGCCTTGGCCTTTCCGAGGTTGCACAAAACCTTCATAACCGAGGGGACGACCCTATACCGATACCCCATTTGTGATACCTCCGGGATTACTGAAATCCTCACAACCGATAGGGGGTGACCCTAATTTCTGCATGGCATTCAATGTAACATATTTTGTCCGCTACTCAATATACAAACATGCTACGACAGACTATGGGTTGAAATTGGTTGAAACCAACTCATATTACACATTCAGAAGCTCTTCCAAGACTTCTTGGAAAGCAAAGGTTCTGGGAGATGTGCCAGTCACCGGACAGCCCCAAACTGTTTTTGGAAGATACTGTTCCTGTTGGAAAAGATGCTGTTTTTGGACGATACTACTAGGGCTTTTTTGCAATCACCTTTTCAGGGTTCAATTTTGCCACTCTTGGCGACATTTTCTGCGCATTCAATATCTGCACAGAAGTACAGAAATGCGGATCAAGCGGGCGAAGTTTGATGAAGGCTTCAGTGGCAACCCATGCATGTGGCTCATGGAATTCTGAGGGCGCCCACCTGAAAAACAACCGCCACAACCACTGGTAGGGGCTAAATTATTACACGTATGGTTTGAGGGTCTTGGAGGGGTCACTGGCTTGTCTTCGGATGGTCGCCTTAAGATTTCCAGGAGTAACATCCGCCCCAAACAAATACCAGCTAAATGCACACACACAGTAGGTGTGCAGTTGAAATACAGTTGTTTTTGACAATTAGATCTGTTTTATTGAAGTCCTTTGTGAAAACCTCGTCCGCCAGGAATTTTCTCAACGACTTAGCCAACTGGTTCGATGCCGTTTTGGCCGTGGCGGGGCTCACTGACTTCTTTCTGACCATTTCTCTTCCAGACACCTCCACATCTCAAAGCAGCTTGGGAAGACGTGAGTTGTGGGTACCTTTTATGGAGAGGGTGGGGCAACGTGGGCTAGCACCATCATCTCAAAACTGGAAGATTGTTGAGGCATGGATCAATTTTGGTCTGTCCTTCTCCACCATGCTTACATCTCAGTCTCCCAAGTGTCTAGATTTGTTTTAGTGCAGTTATTTGAAAAATGCAACATGGTAATTTGCTAGAGCAGCTCATGGTTTGGCATGGCAGCTGCTGTTGGGAGCACGTTTTCACATGTTCTGGCTGCCCACACGTGGAAATGGGTGAGAGTGTAGACTGCTTCATGTTTAATCGTATTTCCCCACCTGCCAAGATTGTTTCTTTGTAACAAGACATGGCAAAACATTCCGCCTCACCAACCTTGCAGACTCACTCACTTACTCCCCAGCTTCCTCGCCAGTTTGCGAGCTTGCCAGCCAGTTTGCTCTACACAGCCACTCTATAGCGAGCCCGCCAGCTTTCTGGCGAGCTGGCCAGCTGAGCTCCCAGACGCTTTAAACCCTGCCGGACACGAATCCTATGCCAGATAAACTGTCAGATAGAATGTCTATAATCTATAGGATGCGTCAATTGCCCAAAAGAATGGCACATAAGAGAAAATGCCAAATAGAATGCCAGATAAAATTTCATGCAGAATGCCAGATCAAATGCCAGAAAGACTAAATGTGTCAGAATGCTTGTCAGATAGAATGCAAGATAGTATGTCAAAACATTTGACGGATACGACGTCAGAATATATGTCATAGTAGGTGTGTATTTGTTGTTGCGGTTGGGATTACTCGAAGAAAGTAACTTTTGATCTTGTTGGGTGATGGTATGTGATGGTATCTGATAGGTTGAGAAGAAAGATATTCTGATATTCGTAGAGCCATGGGAGTCATAGCCGAGAGCTGATCAGAGCTGAGATGAGCTGAGAAAAGTTTGAAAGAGATGAGAAGGAAACCCCAACACAAAAGAAGCCAAGAGAAAGAGATGTGAGATGACAGCAATGTCAAGAGATGGCTTCTGCAACGCGCATGCCGGTGCTTGATATCTTAGAACCTACCCAGAGTACGCCTTATTGAAAAGATTCAATAATGATCGACAGTTTCAACATGGAGGTCTAATTTCAATATATATTGAAATTTCCCTGGATTCCCTATTGAAACAGGGGTGCATTTTCTATTGTATTTTTCAACAGAGCTGTGTTGTATTTTTCAACATGGTTCTGTGTTGAAACCTTTCCAACTTGGTTCATCCAATGCATTTTTTGCTCATCTTTGCTTGCTCTGCTACTTGTGAAACTTTGTACAAAACTATATACATCTTGCCAAGATTTCAGGCCCTTTTGCAGGGCATGGCCCCTTTTCAGGGCAGCCCTTTCTCAGGGCAGCCTTTTCCAAGGCATTTCCCAATGTTAATCACTTTCTATATCTTGCCATGAAAAATCAGCTCCTTGGATCCTCAGGTGAAGAGCTAACCTGTATCTCCAAGTGACCTTACTGGCCACCTGGTAGGGGGCAGTGCCACTCAGGCAGGAATGAGCAAGGGCTGATAGGTGGCCCGCCATTGTTTCACCAGCATAACAGGAATAAAATTTAGGATTGAACCACTGAAAGACACTTGCTAAGTGCTCACACAAGTGGAACTTGGGGGTCACATTCCATTGTAGAATTCCTTGCTGGATGCTCAACACTGACAGCCTGGAGTAGTGTAGGAGGCAAAGGTTCATGCTTTTTTTGAAAGAAGTTGCTTCTTCCCCTGTGGGATGCATGCCACTGCAGTCCATGATTGTGTAGAGCTGGTTGAGGTGCTTGACAGTTTGAAACCGATGTACACTGTACTTGTCCTCTGTACGCTGGAATTCCAAGCATATCTCTTCCAGCACAGGTACCAGCCACCTGCAGTGTCTAGCCTTCACCCCTGTCAAAGTAGGAAACTGATCATGCTTGCTCTTTGGAGAACAGAAAGTAGAGAGTGTCAGCTTCCTGATCCTGTCACTGGCCTCAATGCCTTGCTCTTGGTAGAGGGCGCAGATTTTCCTAAAGAGGTAGGTCAGTCTCTCATTCTGTGTTCCTGGCAGGCCTGGCTTCACAACCAGGTCAAAGAGGACATTGGCCAGCACATGTGCTGTGAGGCCTTCCTCTAGCACATGTAGGGTGTCATATTTGAAGCTTTCACCAACCACACCTGGAATGGTGCTGATCACATGATCTGTAGGACATGTCCCTGCATGCTCCACCACTGTAGCCCTCCAAGCTGCAGTGGGCCTGAAGTCATTATAGGGGAGAGTGCTTTTGTTTGCTGAGCAATTGAAGCACATCTCCTCATGTGATGCACCTTTCAGCTGGAACTCATTCTGGAGGTACTCACCATCTGCCTGCACTGCCCAGATGCAAGCTCTGAAGCCTTCTCTGCTCAAAGGTTGACCAGCCATTTGCTGTCTCCAAGACTTTGCTGGCCAAGGGTTCCCTGCATGGTCAAATTCAGGAAACTTGTTGTAGAAAGCAGCTTCCCAAGACCATTGGAGTACTTGCCAAAGGACCTTCATGGTGTCAAATGCTGCATCATCAGGGCTCTTGTTGATGGCACCCTTTGGCAAAGCCAGTAGCAAGAGCTGGCTTGAAGCAACATTGAGGCTGGATAGCAGGCTCCTCATGCTGATCACATTGATGCTATCATTTCGCTGGAATTGGCCCCCATCTCCATGTAAGCCACAGGGCAAGCACTTATGTCTGTGTTCCTTAGCCAATGCATGTAAACCACAGAGGAAAAGGTTGCCTTTTTGGATTTGGATGCAAAAGTGGCAGTGACAAATGGCACTCTATGCTGCTGAGTCTCTTTGATAATGTTGTTCTTCAGCTGTGGGTCTTTTGGGCTGTGTTCTTTCCAGAACTCTTCAACATTTTGCAACCCTGACATAGCTTGGTCTTGGCCACAAAGCCAATAAAACCACTCATGTGGTAAGAACATCCCTATTTTCTTCTGTGCCACATACAGGCCATCTGCTGTTCTGAGCTGCACAGGAGTCTCCACAAAGTAGGGCATGGGCAAGTCTATGTCAGTGCTTTCACAGTACTTGGATTGCAATTGGTGGGCAATGTGGTTGGGATTCTGGCCATAGTTGCCAAGGGATGCAAGCTCCTGGATATCACTGGTGGATGCCCCTGACTTGCTTGCAGCCAAAGCAAGTGCTTGGATGGAAGGCCCCTCAGTGCAGCCACTGGCAAAAAACAAACAGCACATGCAATCACATTGGTCCTTCAGCCAGACAACTTTTGAATAAACTTTGGCAAGGAGCTGACATGCCATCTGCAAAGTGCTCCAGCAGGCAAGACCCTAAGGGTGAAAACTCTTGGCACAACATGGTAGAGCTGCTGGCCTGCTCTCGTTTTTTCCTTTTCCATTTTTCTCTTTGGTTGGCCATTGCTTTTTCACACAGCTTTGCCCTTTTTCAAGGCAAGAATAGCCCTTCTTCAAGGCCAGAATGGCCCTTTTTCAAGGCCAGCCATTCAGAAGAGTTGAGCCAAACAGCTTTAAAACACCATGGGGAAACTGATTTGAGTGCCACAGGGGCAGTCTTGCCTGCTTTTGTTCTTCAACCCTTCCCCACAAGCAGAAAACCATTTTTCCCAACTTCTCAAGCAAACAGTTTCTGTGCTGCCCAAAGTTTTTCAATGCATAGCCCTTTTGCAAGGCTTTTGCCCTTCTTCAAGGCCTTTGCATTCTTTCAGGATTCATTTCTTTTCCACAGCCTTTTCTGCTCTCTTTACAGCCAGTGCTGCTTCACAGAGAGTGTCCTTGGCAACTTCCAGCTTGACCTTCTGCCCCTGCTTGCTAAGTTTTTGCAACTCAACTTGGCAACTCTGCAGTTCCTTCTGGTGCTTTGCTGCCTTGCTCCCTGAGCTGCCCTTTGCAAGGCCAGCATTGATTTGCTTGACCAGCTTGAGCATCTTCAAGATTCTCTTGGCTGTGAGCTCTTTGCTTTTGCTCCCCCCCATGTCTGACAGGAGGTCAGCTTCCTTTGCAGCTGCATTGGGCTTTTGTTTGCTATCTTCTTCCTCATCTTCTGCATCACCTTCTTCATCTGACTCTTTGTCTTTGATAGCTGCAAGCTCTTTAGCCTTTTTTTTGGCACTGGTGGGGAGGACATCATTCAAGGCATTTGCTGCCAGCCCTTCCTCAGGGCTCAACATGGTGCCAGCCTTTCTGGCTTCCATCCATTGGATGGCTTCCAGTTTGGTGGCAGCCTCCATGTTCATCTCATGCTTGGACTGCTTGTCACTGTAGACAATTGCTGTCTCCAGGCAGAACTGCCACTCTTGTTGGTCCTTTGGGTCTTTTCTGACCCTGATGGACCCCCTGTTCACCTCACCATATGCCAGCAAAGGTTGGCATTCCAAGTCAGGGGGTTGAGTGCAAGATGTGCAATGCATATTGCTGCCAGGGTGCTCTCCTCATGGCTTCCTGTAATCCAAACCTTGTCAGTATGGCTTGGAATGGCACCCATTCCTCTGTTTCCCTGCTGCCTCAGAGAAACACACTCACAAGTCACAAGCAAGCAGCAGGAGTGATGGCACTCAGAACACCCATTGAAATTTGGGTTCTGCCAGCCAAGCTGCCTGAAACTTCGGTCAAGGCAACCAACTCTTTGTGGTAGATGCCAGCCTTCTTCAGATCACCCCTGTTCTTCAAAAACACAGCCAGCAACTGTTTTTTTTCTCTTCACTTCCCTTCCCCTTACAGTGGGTGTTCCACAGCTCTGTGGCTTTGGGATCCTTCAAGGCATCCCTTGCCCTGCTAAAGCGACCCCAAAGGGCTTCTCTCTGGCCAGGGGTGAGGCTGTCAAGGAAAGTCTGAACATTTCCATTGGCTTTTTTTTGGAAGGTTTCCATCTTTTCTTCCAGGCTCAGGTCTGTCTCATTTTTTGGTAATTTCAAAATGGAACTGGGCCTTTTCAAAATGCCTGGCCCTTTTGCAAGGCTTTGCCCTTTTGCA